CCCCCCCCTGTCGCGGTGCGGCCCGGTCTGGCAAGGGAGGGGAAGGGAAGGGAAGGGAAGGGAAGGGGAAAGAAAATCATTCAACTACTCTGTCATGGGATACTTTAAAACATTTTAAAGGGGATAAATGTCCAAAATATGAGTTTTGCTGGATATCTCTTCAAGCTTTTTCTTAAAAAAAAAAAAAAAAATAGAAGTGATTAAAGTTTGTTTCCTATTGATAGCAAATAACATCAAATATAGAAGAAGCACATACATTTCTTAGAGGACACACAAGAACTGTACAAGTGACAATTTGTACTTTACAAACTGCTTTGACATATTAAAATAAACAAACTAACCAAACATATTTTTAGGAAACTTCTGTGTCAAAATCATAGTATAGGAAAATGCAGTCTAGTACTAGTATTATTAATACGCATGCTGTTGTATTATGAATGTCTTAGAGCTATTCAAATACAGTATTTACATTGAAAATTGCTACCTTGTTGCTCTCAAAGCTGCTGCTTATCTTCTATCTACTAAAGTGTAGGCATTTCATAGGTAGGGTGATAGTTACATGTCTTTGAGCAAGAATTGCTGTTAATGCTGTCTCTAAAGGAGCAGAATTTCTGTTGTTCACTCAGAAAAGGTTCTGGCAGCATTATTATCAAGTGTAAACCTCCTACTGATTTCAAAGAAGACAGTTTTTGTGTTTATTTCATTAGAAAAGTGAAGAAAGAAAAAAGGCTAAGGCTCTTCCTTAGCAATAAATTTCCCTCTTAAGCAGTGCTTATTCTCCATTAATTCCAAAGCACTTTATACAAAAGACAGAATCATTACCTTAAATTTGCAGGTGGTGAATCTGAGGCACAAAGAGAAGAAGAGCTCATAAATTACCCAGCAGTGACAGACTCAGGAAGAAAAGCAGATCTCTCCAGTCCCACTCAAGTGCTGTCTGCCTTTGCTTAGACTGCCTCTTCAGATTCTTAGTTTCCAAAGTATATAAAGAAGCTCGGTATATCTTATATGGCTGAGTGTATCTTCTTCTTAGTGTGCCAGTAAATCAAACACTATTTCAGATCAGGGATGCAAAACTACCTTTACTACATATTTTCTACATGTTTATACATATACTCTGTTTGTAAGCAGATATTTACATATCTTCACTGCACTGGAATCCACTAGCAGAACTGGAAAGTCAAAAGAACGACCACACTCGGGAGTGGTGAGTGATACACAGGGATTAGCATTACAGAGATCTCCCACTGACATTAACAGACTGGTGCCTACTGGCACTGTGCTTGGTCCACTCCTAAGTGGTCAGCATGGAGTAACTACAGAAGCAGAAAGAAGACAAGGCTATGTAAAGAAACAGTCCTTTTAGAATTATTACTTTAACTGTATGTATTTAACTATTTGCATGATGAAGAACCTTGCAGAAGTAGAATACAGGAGATCTGAATTAGACTCAAAATGTTATGACTGTAAGTACATTGCATACTGAAATTTGGATTTTGGCATTTTTTTTGAATGTGCCTCATAGAAGGAAAAAAGTGTATGTATAACCAGGAAATATACCAAGTAGTTGCCAGTTATTATTACATTTAAGGACTATTTCTGCTAATTCCCAGTTAATTCTTCTCCTGTTACATAATGGGTCATGGACTGTTTTGTAGACTTACAAGTATCAAACCAAGGCCAGTAGAGAAGCAATATTGCTCATGGAACATAGACCTATTTTTACCCTTGCATTTTTATTCTAGTTTATACTCCTAGATTATATATTTGTTGTGTTATTACTTATCTTTTTTTTTCTCTCTCTCTAATTCAGGAAAAAATATGAAAAAAATACACAGCTTTATTAGAAGTTTGTTTTCTTCGGGGATGTGATACTCATATAATAATCTATTTTAAAACATACAGAAGAGATATGACATTTAAAATGTAAGATCTGCAGTGGATTTTAGCACCCAGATGTTTAGACAAAATAAGTCTTTACAACACATGACTTTTGTATGTATATAAAACGTATAAAATTATGTAGTTTTCATGAAAATGAGTCACTGTGATTTCATTAGCAAATATTTTATTCAAAAACTGTGGATATTAAGTTGTTTGTGCCTACAAGCTTCTTTGTTTCCAGTAATGTTCTAAACATAAGAAATAAAGTTTTAAATGAAAATGTAGTTTGGGAACATTTTTCTGTATTGTGTTTGTTTCCTAAGTGTATTAACCATACTATTTCTAAAAATGGGAAAGAAAATACCCTAAAACAAAATAGAGTCAGGCATGTTAGCTAATGTCCTAACGTCTGCACCTATACTAATCTGAGTCCTAAAAAGTCCTAAGGAGTAGAAGAATATTGTCTTATTTGACATTTCCTTTATTATGGTGAGACAAAGCATCTATAAGTTCAAAGTGATTTAGTGCTTGTGCTTCTGCTGCTTCGTTTCTACCAAATGCCTGATGTTTTCACAAAATTTTCTACTATGGCACATAAAAAACAAAACAAAACAAAACAAAACAAACAAGGATTACAGCTCATTGGATAAATGAAATTGACAGTTTTTGTATGTAACCATAATTCATACTCAGCAAAGAGAGGAATCAACAAATAAACTTGAATACATAGGCGCTTTTGTAAGCATTTTAAACATTGAAATATTGAGGATTTAGTGTAAATTTCAAAAAAATTCTACTATTCCTTTCTTTTGTCATATACATCATCATTCACGGAGCATACCCTGATACTGACATGGCATACTCTGCTACACTGGTTGTTCTATGTTAGTGCAGGAATTTGCACAACGTAACTGCTTTATAGGTATTTGTCCATCAATTTGTTCACATCAGCACTACAAGAATTACACAGTTTTCTTGCCTCTGAGTTTTTTCTTTCATTGTTTACAATTTGTTCCTTTTAACATTCAAAGTTTTGAGTACGTATGAACCCTGTAGGTCACTGGCATCTCACTACCTCATATATATGTTCTCTAATTAATTCAAATGTTTATTTAATGTAGAGAATGGTACCCAAAGTGCTGGTGCCACTCTGAGAGTTTTGATTTTTACTATAGTGGGATCTTCTATTAATATCCTGTAGGGTGCGGTGGATTCCACCTGTTTAGAAGAGGCAACAAGCTGGCTAACCTAGTGAGGCACACTTTAAACTGAAGGACTTAGGGGGCAGGGTCCATGATGGCAACACTCATGCCATTGCAATCAAATGGAGAAGGATTTAGGACAGCCATAAGAGTAACAAATGTTCTTTAACTGCCTCCAATGACAAAAGCCAGAAGACTAGCCGCCTCAAGAACCTCAAGATATGCCTGCAGGAAATCTTTCACCCCTCTAGGGATATCTTCACCCTCTGCTTTCTGGAAGTGCCTGTATACCAGTACACACAGCATGGGGAAATAATGTCTTGTTCCACATCTTCATCAGCTCCTAGAAAGAGTCTAATTCAGAGTGACAGTTAGGAGCCTGGAGTATCTCCTTTGCAAGGAAATACTGAGAGATCTAGGACTGTTCAGCCTGCAGAGATATTCAAGACCAATCTGGATGCCCACCTATGTGAGCTGCTGTAGGGAACCTGCTTTTAGCAGGGGGTGTTGGACCCAATGATCTCTAAAGATCCCTTCCAACCTGTACTATTTTGTGATTCTGTAAAGTTCAACTTAACTTATGTTGGAATCAGAGGAAGTGCAGAACATAAAACATCTTTGAAAACATGGACCTGGATACATCTTGTGAAGGATGCAGACTTGGCTTT